GGCCCTCGGCCAGGTCCAAATTGTCTTCCTGTCAAACATTCTTCTAGGTGGTATAGCACTGGTCTGTGCGTTGCTGTACAGAGGTAACTCGTGGTTGCAGTGATGCTGAAGCCTGTGATAGTGATGTGCAAATCGTAGTAATGGGCACCCATGGTGGACAGTGTTGGCTGGAGCTTCCCGACTAAATCAGGCCTGGAAGCAGGAGCGGCATCCACTTCCGAAATGGCTTGCCTCCGGAAACTGTGTACAAACAGTGCTCGGGCTGTTTGTTCATAGGGTCGCTATGAGTCGTCTACGACTCGATGGCATTAAACAACAACAACAACAATAGCCTGCTCTAGTATTTTCTTAATTCTCCTATTCTACAGCACTTTTAGTGTTCAGTAATTAAATCTTAAAGGGAATTTAGAGATGACAGAGAATCTAGCCTTCATGCCAGATATGCAGGCTACTCTGAAGCATCAGTAAAAATTCTGGTTGTCCAGCTTCTACTTGAACATCATCACCTAATGAATATTGAGTAAAAGGAATAATGAGTCTGTATCACATTAAGGGTCTGTACTAAGCATTCTATTAGGCACTATCACAAAACTGAAGTGTCACAGTAATGCTATGAGGTAGATGTTACTTGTCTCTTACAGATGAGAAAACAGTAGCATAGATACAGATGTGTCTGGGTTTTAAAAACATTTTAAAAAATTAGGTCAAACAATTTTCAATAAGAGATTTTAGAGAAGGAACTTAGTATTCTTTTTCTAACTAAGTAATAATATTTTTTTAAAAGGGAAATGTGTTTTTACATGGCTTTAGAAAAGCATTTATTCATTCTGTACAAAACTAATGAAATGAAACAGACTGATTTATTGGTTTATATCTCATAGGATTATCTCCATAGTAAATTTTCTTCTTCCTTAAAAATACCCATACTCTTCAAGAATCCAATAAAAAGGAATAAGGTATTGAAATAAACAAGAAAGCTTTTCTTCTCACATATGTTCAAATAGAACTAAAATTAAGTGAAGTACACATTTTTTTTTAAAAAGTAAAACATGGACTGACAATAAACAAGTCATAAAATAAAGTCACCATAATGAAAGTCTTTTCTCAACCTAGAAAAGAGTATTTGCTGACTGAACTACATGTTTTTATAGCATAATTTGTACTGACCATTTGCTTTCAGTCACCAAGACACAAACAAATCACTTCAAAAAAGAAAGAGAATATAGAGAAAGCATACAATCTTTGAAGTCAGGGCATTTGTTGCTATGATACACAATGAAATGCATGAACTATTTATTCTCAGATTATTTCCATTTGATTATTGTTTCTTGGCCAGAACATTATTGTATGACTCAAAATATGCAGATCTCAAATATGAACAGCTTTTCATTCCTATACAGGTTTATTTTTGTTGTTGTAAATGAACACAGTGTATTATTAGAAATAGTGGATGTTTTATCACCTAGAAATATCAAGACCACCATTATTTTTATCTAAAACAAAACCCTTTTTACTGGCTTCCATCTTAACCTGCTTAATAAATAGAAAAATTGCTTCTGTGAATGACCATCATGCACTACAATTTCCTACCTTCCATTCAAAATCCAGCTGCTTCATAGCTCGGTAAACTTCAGCCATAATGTCATATGGTTTGCTCTGACTTCGAATTCCAAGATGCCATTTGGCTTTTTTCACAGCTAAAGATTTGGGCTTTGTCGTATTGAGTGCATCCAGTGGACATCTTGCTTTAGGGCTGTCAGCTATAAGAGGTGGCATCCTTTCTGGATGAGGTTTTAGGCCTGGAGGAATATGCATGGCACTATCATCCATAAAAGAACCAGTAGGGGGACTGGAGGCGAGGTAGAACTCACTGGCTTGGTTCATTATTCTCCGATTGTCAATGATAAGATGATAAGCCACAGCAAGTTGGTCTTGAGGATCACCACTATATAAACTGTTCATTACTTCTGATTCTGTACACTCAAACTTCTCACACACTTCTTTCACAGCCTCATCGTCAATGACGTTGGCATCATAGGAGGGGTCTTCAGGAAATAAGTAACTGGACAAATCTTGTTTAAACCATTCATGTTCTCTAGGAAAAACATGACAATTCACAATTGTAAGAACTTTTTCTGGAAAGTCTTGAACAATTTAGACATGGGGCAACAAAGCACAATTTTAAGGCCACATTTTTTTCTGATTCTATTTTGCTATATTGTATTGTATCAAAAACCTATGTAAAATAAAGCAAAATAGAGTCAGAAATACATGGCTTCTCATTCTAGCTGTCGTACTTACGAGCTAGGTGTCCCAGAGGAAGTTCATTAAGCTCTTCTCCTGAATAAATATGGTTATTACACACTTGATATTTTCTTAAAAATAAGCATAGGGAGCCTGCCACTTAGATAAAATTCAAGCTTTCAAAGAAAAATTCAGAATTTTAGACAAATTATTTCCACCACCTTTAGCTTATCAGTTGCAACACTTATGATAAGTTTGATGGTGACAATGAAGAATATTACTTTTAAGTATTATAAAAATGTTATCATCTTTTCTAAATGACCAATGCAGGATGTTACAGAATGACAAATGACAAATGAGTCTACTCATGATGTAAGGTAGACCAATAGGTTTTAATGAAATACAGGCCTAGTGTTTACTGATATGTTTTCTAATTTGCTATTGTTAATTAAGATGTTAAGTTTCAGTATAATATTTTAAAAAATATACATAACTATAAAAGTCATTAAGATAGTTCTCTTTTTTTCCAACCACATATCTGAGTGAGACTTTTGCTAGAAACTTCAGCAGTTGTATTGTAAAAGACTGAAGGAAAAAGTAAATATAGGGTGACAGCTGCTGCTTTTGATGAAGTCAGACAGTAAAGAGATTTGCAAAAATGTGAAATAAGGCTATTTTTAAAAAACCATTTTATTTTTGTTTTGAGAAATAGGGTTTTTTCCCCTAGAATGTATGTCATTTACATAAACATGTAATGGGTTTATTGGGATTTTTTCAAACATTTGTAAAATAAGTGGATATATAAATACAACTGATGAGGCAGTGCTACAAGGTAGAGCAGAACACTTCCACACCACTAACTTCAGATCAATATCTATTTTGCCTGAATACCTTCTATGCAATGATACATTTATAAATATACATTATTTATGTAGCATTTATATTTTAAATGTATATAACGTATTAATTTTTAATCTAGGAAAACAATTTTTATATTATTTATGTAATAAATTATTTCCTTTTTTTCTGGGGGAAAGAAGACAGTCTTTCTCTTCACAAAAATTGTATTACACTTGTGTATTGTTGAGTTGGAACTGGCCCATAGCTGACCCTCCAGGGGGGTTTCAGAAGACAGTAAACTAAATTACACAGAAGGAGACTGCCCATCTTTCTCCCACAGAGCAGCTGGTGGATTCAAACCACGTTACCTTTGAGTTGGCAGTGCAATTCCTTACCACCAGGCCACCAGAGCTCCTTTATATTATACTTACATAACAAATTCAAGAAATACACACAAAAATAAATATATACTTTTCACTAAATGACTCACTGCCATCAAATCAGAACCACTCGTTGCTGACCTGCCAGGTGGGTGGATTCAAACTTCCAAAGATTCACATCCTTTGGGACTGCAGCACAATTTCCTAATGAGTAGGAAAGTCCAAGTATATTCAAGAAACATACAAGAGACTCCATGGCACTTAACAACAACAACATCAGTCTAAAGAGAAAGAGCCTTGTAATGCTTAATGTGTCAGGATGCTAACTGAAAGACCGGCTGGGTTTCTTTTTATTATTATTGTTCATTTTAATGAAAATTTACAAAGACTTTGGATTTCCATTCATTCAGTGTTGCACTTTTCTTCTCACCCACTCCTCCCTCTATCACACTACCCTCTTGGAAAAGTAAAAGAAAAGTTCTTTCATTGTTTTACAATCCCTCCTCCCAGGTCCACACCACTATGCAGCCTTCGCTCTGGACTCCTGTCATGACAATAATACCTAATCACATATCCCTTTAAACAATTTTCTGCCTCATCTGTTTCAATGCAGTATACATTATTTATCTCATTTTTCTCAGTCTCCCCCTAACTCCGATGTCAGTCCTGTTTTACAACAGTGGCACTATGCAGTATTTGTCCTTTTGGATTGAGATATTTCACCCAGCATAATGTCTTCCAGGGTCACCCATTATACAATATTTCATGAGTTCCTTGTTTTTCAATACAGCATAGTATTCCATTGTGTAAATATACCACAGCTTCTTCAATATGGGTATGCATAAGACTGGCTGTTTTAACCTACCAGCCTTTCCATGGGACAAAGATGGTCAGTCTCCTCCTGTAAAGATTTATAATCTCAGAATCCTGCTCACTATGAGTTAAGAGTCACCTTGAGGTAGAGGGCATTACAAATATTTTCAAAGAACTAAAACAAGCCATGTCTAAAGAAATAAAGAAGGTATGCAAACACTGTTTCATCAAATAGAGACCACTGATAGAATATAACAAAGAAATAAGAAGAAATTTTAGAACTGAATGTATAAAAGAAAAAGAGGAGCTCACTAAAATATGTTAGCTATCAGAGAGCTAAATCAACAAACTTGAGGATGGGTCAATTAAAATTGTCTAATCTGAGGGACAAGAAGAAAAGAACAGAGGTAAATGAACAAAGTCTCAGAGAGGTGTGGGATCCTTTCAATATACCAACCTATGCATAACAGAAGTCTTGAAGGATAAGGGAGAGGAAAATGGGCAGAATGAATATTTTAAGAAACAATAGCTGAAAACTTACCAAATATTATGAAAACATTAATCAAAACACATTCAAGAAGCTAAATAAACTTTTTGTTTGGTAGTATGAAGGATAAATGTAAACATACTACAAACACAACAATAAAACTGCCAAAAAACCAAAGACAGAAAATCTTTAAAGCATCAAAGCAGCAGCAAGTGATCACATAAAAGAGATTCTTAATAATATAAACAAATGCTTTCTCATTAGAAATCACAGAAGTCAGAAAGCAGTAGGAAGACATTAAAAATTCTAGAAGAAAAACTGCCAACCGCAAATTCAATATGCAGCAAATTTTACTACCCCCCCAAAAGAAAAAAATATAACGATATTTACAGTTAAATAAAAATTGAAATGATTCCTCACTAGCAAATCTGCCCTCCAAGACAAAAACAAAGGGAGCCATTCAGGAAGAAATTAAAGAACATTAAGACAGTAACTTGAAACCACATGAAGTAAATAGCAGAGGTAAGTATAAATGCATAAAGTTATACAAAAGACAAAATGTTTTGCTTGTAACTGTAACTGTTGTTTTCTTCTACTGATTTAAAAGATCACTACACAGAGAAAAAATGATAAAACTGTGTTGATGGGCTGGTAATGCAAAATATGCAATTTGCATGGCAATCACACAAAGGTGAAGAGGAGCTAAAGTTCTTGTTAAGTTTGAATTAATTAGTTTAAACTAGGCTATTATAAATTAAGAAGTTGATTGAATCCCCAGCACAATCACTAAGAAAATAACTTAATTAAAAACTGTTAAAGAATGCACACCCATGTTTATAGTGGCTTTGTTCACAATAGCAAGGAGCTGGAAACAACCTAAGTGCCCATCAACAAA